CAACTACCTGTTGTAGAAACACAAGTGTAGAGGATGATGTTTCGAAAGTCACCTGCCTTTCGTCTTCAGGTCAAAACGTCACCTTCTACACTTGTGTCTCTACAACAGGTAGTTGCCATCCATTCTAAAAAGTTTCATCAATATACCAGCTATTATAATAATACTGCCAAAAATATTTTTTCAGAGTGGGTTACAAGCATGTTATAAATCCTTAGCGCCTGAACGATAAGAAATATGTTTGTGATACAATATTATGTATTTGTTTCTCATTTTTGATGTGGGTACAGTTCTATACAGTATGTCAAATGAAATAACATTTTACCCAAATTACCATATCTTAATAAATAAGTAGACATGGAGTTGAATATAAAGCAGTCAAATAGTAGATACTGACAAGGAATCTACTTTTAATTTTTGTTGCTTTGACCTTTAAATAATTAGATTAATTGGTAATGTTTCTGAATTAAGAGCAAAAATGATAAATTTAATGTTCTCAGAGAATACATAAAAGTAATAAATTTACAAATAAAAAATAAAGATGATCATAATTCAACCACCTCCTTGATCATCTTTCCGCTTCCGTTTTCTTTCTAGAGGTGTTCTATTAAACTGCTTTTCTGGACTCTGTGAAATAAAAAGGAAAGTATTAAATGAAAAAATTGAGCTCCATAAATTTTGTTTAGTATATACAATTAATGAAAAAAATCTAACTGCTCTAGCTGGTAATTTGTAAATTATAATTTTCTCTTGAAAATGGGAAATACAACTTCAACCCTTACAGACTTCATTCAGATTTTTTTTATTGCTATCCAACATCTTTTTTTTAATAAAACTAGGATGTTAGAAAATATTATACTACAAATTTAGCACTTCTATTTGCTACATGGTTCAAAAGAAACAAAAGATATAGAATAAACATGCATAAAAATTACACTACAAGACATAAAAAACTACAATGAAAACATTAAAGTATAAAAAAGGACTATTGTTGTTCTTATTATATAGATATACATTTATCATGATTGTTTTCCAAAAAAAAGCACCTCATAACCTTACGAAACAGAAGAAACTTTTATTTTTAAATATCATTATAGCTTATATGTAAATAGATATTAGGTAGATAGATAATTGGCAAAAGTAGACAAAACAATGTGAATTTATTTTGCTCTTCAAGATTAATCACTAATTACCTAATATTCTAAACCATGTTAGAGTTTAAGCTACAAACACAGACATTTCTTCAGAGATTTCTTTTTTCTTTTTTTTTGAGAAAAATGTCTTAATTTACTTTGTTCATACGTAATAATCTTATGGTCACATGCAAATGTATTTGAAGTGATGTTTTGGTTGAGAATAATTGGATTGCTAACACCTTATGCTGAATAAGTATAAAAGCAGATGATAACTTTTTTCTTTATACACAGTCATACTGTCATATATAATCAGTTAGCATTTTGTCAAAAATTAATTATGATTAACATTCCAGAAAACATCTAGGGTTTAAAGAATATTACATCTTCTCTCAATTTCTTTTAAACGTTTTTGCATTATTTCCATTTCAGTCTGAAAGTCAATTCATAAGTGTAAGTTTTTCTTTATACAACTGTTTTTAGAGATGACTGATATTGTTCATGTCCAAGAATTTTATCAATATTTTGCAACAATAAACCTGATTTCAATATTGGGAAAGAAAACTACTGTTAATATTGCTCTGTAGTTAAGGTTTCAAGTAGTGTTACTTTTTCATGGGTTACAGACAAACTATGTAAAAAGCTAATAGCAACTAGATTAATGTCAATAGCCAGAAAAACAAAAACAGCAACAAAATATGCATATAGTTTATTCAATTAAAAATATACCAGAATTTTAAAGAACATCTATTTCTTATAGAAGTCTTGAAAACACATAACTTCAAAAGACTACTCTTAGAGGCCAGCACAATTAATTAGCTGTATTTTTAAACCTATCATAATGTAAAAACATCCTCCAATACGTTTTACTGATTCGTTAATAAAAACTTAAAAGTAACACACACACATATATATATATCTGAGGCATAATAGCACGTGGGTTTGCAAAATACAATGTGTTTTAATTAAATCAATGTTGCATTTACAAATTAACATAAATCCTGTGTATTTCCTTTTATTTTTTCTTTACAGGATTTTCCACTGTTGCTCAAAATCTTATGATAGCATAATTATTTATTGATGTGATCTACACATCCAATTAACAACACATAAAGCTAATATTAAAATGCTACTATTAAATGCATTTTCTGTTTCATTCGTAACACAGCTTTATCTCTATCATAATGAAAGCACAAACCAGTAATACTATGAAAATGTTATGGATGGCTCACTGTCCAGTAATATTAGAAATTCACCTTATGTTATATATACCAGCATTTGTTACAGTGTGCACACACCACACCCCTCTCAGAAAATATGTTGCTTAAGAGTCATATAATTTGAAAAACATTAAAGTTCTTATTACACAATGATATTATAATATAATTATATAATTCAGTTGCCAATTTTCTTCATTGTTTCTTTGTTTTTTCTCAACAAAATCACACTGAACTTAAAAGTGTGATTTTTCACATGCAAGTTTAATATTTGATATGAATTAGATTCTCTTTCATCAGTCTTCTTTTTATCATTTTTGGATCAACCAAAACCACAAATCAAGAAAAATAAGCAATTTTCTTTATTAAGAAGATGGTCACAAAACACTGCTATTGTACACCTTAGTGGCATCACAGAATAATCACACTACGATAACTACAACAAATATATGTACACATAACAAAGCATGACTGTCTAGTGTCTTTATTTAAGGTATTCTATTTTAAAAAATCAATATGAAATAAACAAACGTATTTTTTTAAGACTTAGATAAGTATATTTTGTTGGGTGTCATGGCCTGAACAGTTTTTCTGTATTTTAGATCTGAAACAATACTTTATGTATTTTGATTTTAATACTTTATGTAATTATAAGCCTAAGAAAAGTAAATTCAGTTGGAAATAGTTTTAGCAATAAGTTGCAGCACTCATTAAAGATTTTCATCAGGCAAATGTGAACATTACACTGCATTCTTCCTCCCCTTAGGAAGCCGGTTAATATTTTTTTTATATGAAAAAAATACAGACTTTAGTTAACATTTTGAAGGAAAAATGGGACATAAGTTTTGGTTTATTCATCTATAATTAACTCACTAAACACAATGAATTAATTTCTTACATCTATATCTTTGTCACTAGAACCACTTGCTGCACTGAGGTTGGAGTTGTCATTATGAGGCTGAGAAGAGTTACCACTACCACCTTGTGATGGAATAAATCCACTCAAACCCTGCGAGTGGTTAGAATTTTGCATTGCTGAGAAGCTGCATGCTTGAACTAGTCTTTGCTGTTGATCTGGCGATAAGTGAGAAAAAGTGAATCCCTGGAATACAAGAACCCAGAGAAATAGTTAGAAAACAATAAAAGTTATGGAAAGATCTGTCCAGCTCTATATGATATATGTGTAAAGCTACATTTAATCAGATAGTTCATACAAACAATGAAACACTTTGAATACAAAAATACTACTGTTTATAACAAATATACACATTTTTGTAACAGTAGCTGAACACGTCAGACTATGTGAAATGACAAATGACCAATCAAATATGCTTAATTACATGTATAACAAACAAATTTTCATATCACATCAACAAATCTTCCTCAAATTTATTGATATCAATGAGAAAACATATGCGTAAAATAAAATTCTTATAACTAACATTAAATGCTGAACTTGTTGCATTTATACAATGATCGATGCGAGTAATGCTCAGACCGTATTTCACTCCTTATATCCTGTATCTCATTATTAACTCTGTACTTCATACCTTGCATTATACAAGTAATGAAATGATTGTACTTCATATATAACATCCGATCTGCAACAACCAAACTGTATTCTTTATTTTATACAATATAATTAATAGCCAGACTACGTTCCACTGAAAACATTGCTAGATTAACCTTAATTTCAAACTCACAAACACCAGAACATGTAAGGGCAAATCATCTACTAAGTTACTTGTGAGTGTGTTTTATAGTTCTCTCATGCAAGACCAATAACTGAAATCTGAAGTCAATGTCTTGCTACCTAACATCAGCAGTCCATGTAACATAAGACAACAACCGGGGATCTCCTCTACTAATAAGCCATTAATTCAATTTTAGAAAATTGTAATAGTAATTGAGCATATGAAAACGTGTGAAATGACAAATCACCAATCAAATAAGCTTAATTACAACATATTTATGTTAATGTGACATTAAAATGTTTTTAAGTTATCTTCCTCAAATTTAATATTGACAATGAAAAACCACATGCATAAAAAAATAATGTTCAGATTTTTCTAATCAAGATTCAGTTTTACTAAAGAAATAATGTCGTGTAAAAAAAAAAAAAATCAGTGTTCATTTATATCATATCAATGACTGGAGAAATAGTGATAAACCTAGCCCAATATCGGCACATTTAAGTTTTCAGTTTAAAGAACAAGTAAAACACCTGTTAAATTCATGGAGGAAGGGGTGGAGGGACGATTATGGTATATTATTTTTTTGAATAATATTTAATAACACATATTATTATATGCACCAGACTACATACAGTTTGAAAATGTTAAAAAAAATGCATTTTGATTTCTCTAATTCATTTCATGGAATTTATGTCACTCACAATTGGCTGGGACTTTAGTGATCCAGCAATTACACATCAGATACATTTAGAACTTCAATCAATCTCTCATTAGTAGGTTTCACTCACTGGTCATCAAGCACTTTTATAGAAAGGATTTGAAAATGTAAGATTTTTTTTCAATTTTGTGGTAGAGCTATATCACAAATACACTTTATTATAATAACACAATAACCAAAACAATTTACTATCGTTCCTCCAAAAAACCTTGCCTCAAGAGCAGCGAGTGTCTAATGTTTTTAATTAAGGTGTTCAATTAAAAAAATCAATATGAAATAAACTTTTTCTTAGACTTAGATAAGTACATTTTGTTGGGTGTCATGGCCTGAACAGTTTTTCTGTATTTTAGGTATGAAACAATACCTTGTGTAATTATAAGTATAGCCAAATAAAAGTAAATTCAGTTGAAAATAGTTTTAGCAATAAGCTATAGCACTCATTAAATTTTTTCATCAGGCAAATGTAAACATTACACTGCCTTCTTTCTTTCCTTAGGAAGACTGAATTTACAAGTTCAATCAATCTCTCATTGGTAGGTTTCACTCATTGGTCATCAAGCACTTTTGTAGAAAGGATTTGAAAATGTAAAGATTTTTTTAAAGACATTTTGTGGTAGAGCTATATCACAAATACACTTTATTATAATAACACAAGGACAAAAGAATTTAGTACCCTTCCTCCAAAAAACCTTGCCTCCAGTAGCTCCTGTTTTCGGGGATCCAAACTATGTATATTATCCATCATGTCATTGGGCTCCTGTTCATAATATACCATCATAATCAAAATTATGGAAAATATTATGTAAACATTATCATAAAGTAGCTGTATTAAATAACTTAACTGATTAAATTTGTTAAAAATCATGTCATCAATATAAAGTTTTTTAAAATAATGACCATATCATATTTAAAAATACACTTAGAAACTACAAAGAATGATACTTATCAATAAAAAGACCAGAAATAAAAACTGATGCCAACCCTAAGTACTACTAAAAACCTTTAATTGTATTAAAACTTTTATGATACAATTTTCATTTTACCAAAAAAGCTTTGAATTGCATTTAATTTTCAAGAAATTTAGCATTCAAGTATTTACATAAATCTATAAAATGGATTTTACATGACCAGTTGATAAGATTTGTTTCAATTACCTTTTCTTTTTATTACTACTACACAGAAATAATTAATCTCATAACTGTGTTTTTTATATTAGCAATAGAATATCGATTGCAAATTAGCAATAACATGAAATACTGGATTTCAGAAGCATTTGTATAAAAATTAAGAATGCACAATAAAATGTTATTCAAAAATTGTTTGAATAAAAAATTCAAAAATTGCTGATCTGGGGCCTTTGCTTTAAGTTTTAATATACAGTAAATGTTGAATTTCAGGTACAATAAATGTTAAAGGAAATGGTTGTGACTGAATTCCAACTTCAACATCAGCCATGTATTTCAAATGTCCAAGTTTTACTTACCCATATCTGTTGTATTAAACTGCACAACACACAAACATATTTTTACTGACTGTAAGGACAAAAACTGCTAGCATAACAAAGCAAGTGAATGCTTCTTCATCTGCATTTTCTACTGAGAACATAGTTTCTGACTAATACTTTGCTGGAAACTCTCACACTTTGTTCAAGTTCTCTAAACAACTTTAAGCTTGGCAACTAAACCAGATTATCTGGTCATTTCTATCAGAGTCATTTTACAATTTAATCAGAAAATGTATTTAATAGTTTAGAATATCTACCCTTTTCAATCACTAAACTGGTTCATTTAGTACTCAATCTTTTTTATATGAATATCCAATCACTAAAAATAAAAACAGTGGTTTATTCTTAACATTTATTCATCCAATCACAGCAGTCTGTATCCTGTATACTTTACCACTAAAATTTCTTGATAGGTTTCTATATCTTACCTTTTTTGTTGATACTAAACATTTATGACTCAATCCTCTTTATAAATTCTGTACATTTTTAACTGCACAAGCAGCAGAGGCACTTCGAATCTGGAGGGGGCACCATATGTGTGTTTTTACTGAGTTGTCACAAAGAAATGACAACTTAAATCAAGACAGTAAGAATGCTGGCAACTACAACCCACCTTACATTTTTAGGCCCTACATACTGTTTTACTGAGTTATTATATTCTAATGTTATGGATTTTATTTTTTTAAGAGGGGCATTTTATTACTTTGTAAAAAAATGTGGAGCACATGTCCCCAGTGTCCCCCATACTTAAGTGTTACTTCCTAAAAAAAAAGAAAAAAAAGAGATATATGTACATGATCAAAATTTAAAATGCCCTGTTAGTCTGAAAATATGAAGTGCAACTCTGACAGAAAAATACAGCTTGCCAGAAACAGATTGTTGGAAATACCAATTTTCCTTTATACACGGTCATTATCTTTCAAAGAAGCGTCACTTTTCCATTAATTTTTGTCAAAAGTTATTAAGTTCATATAAAACTAACACACATTATTTTATATTTAAAAAGATTAATCTGTAACTTTCTCAAAGAATTTTTCTACACATCATTAATGATATGCAGCTACTGTGACTAATACATAACAGCTGGAATTAATCTTGAGTAGAAATGTTACTTATTTGATGCTTTACATATTAATATAAAATACACATTTTAAATACTAACAGCTTATATATTATTAAATAACAATGCATTTAGTTGAATGCCTAAACAAGGAAATGTTTGAGTTAAAAGTAGATAAAACTGTAAAACTAACAATACAATCTTCTTGATCTGTTGTGTATATTTAAATATTCAGCATTCTTGATCTACAGATCTACCTGTAATCACATGGCCTCTAACCTGGCACACACCCGTCAAACCAACATAACTGAAAATATACACCTAGCCTCTCAAATTCTTAACTGATCCTACAATAAACTAAACATTCAGCCTCCTATGTAAGCCACACAATGTTTTCTTTTGTTCAATCCTACATATGTATCTGCCAATACTCTAGTCTGACCCTATGTTTTAAACCATTTTAACTTGTACATCTAATCATTCAAATCTTTTATTGATCTTATTTATAGATATTATTAAAATCAACTTCTGATCAGAGGAAGCTATGTACTTAGAGCAAAACTAAAAACATTGTGATCAGTATAGCTAAGTTGTTTAACCATATATATTTCTAACTATATGCCCTAATTTCCTAACCCTTGACTGTCAACACTCTTCTTTCATCATATGTTTATAACCATTTGACCCTGTTATCTAATCAACAGCATTTTTTCATTCCCTATCTCCAACAATTAGGTCAAGTTTTAATCATTTTGAATGATCCTGTAGTTCTAAACACAGAACTCTAATTTATATCTAATCATCAATCCTCTTAAGTGACCTATTACACCTAATAATTACCCCAATTTTGGCTAACCATGTATTTCTAACCACATAACCCTTTGTTTTACTCTTTACACCTGACCATCAGTCTTTTGCTTTTATTGACCCTGTACTTCTAACGGTACAAGTTTCTTCTTTTACTCTGTAGACCCAACCCCAAAATGTCCCTTTACAGCCAACCATCAATGTTTTTGATTGACTTTCTTGCTTAACACTGAGCTATAAACTATTTATTCCTCTTGATCCTTGTACATATAATTATACAATATCTTGACTTCAGTTAAAAAATATAAATCATTGGTACCTCAGGAGTGTTACTTGACCTAACCATCCAGACTTTTCCAACTGGTCCTATACAACAAACAATCCAGTTACTTTGGACATCCTATTACTTACCCCAATTAAGTGATTGCATATTTATATATAAAAAGCTTTTACTTGTCAACAATATCTTTTGACCACTCAATTCTATGTATCTAAAATTTAACATATAAGTAGTGGTTCCAGATTTTGTTAGCTCTTTTCAACGAATTACATTGTCTACAGCAATAACACACACAGAGCTATTAACATTAAGTCTTTGTTATCTGGATATATTAATACATGTGTACTTTCCACCTTATGTTATATAGGTATATTTCAGTTGTTGTTCTGTAGCACCTTATTTGTTTAGTAAATCATCCTTTCCTGATTATAGTTCATACACAACTTGAAAATGTTTATCTAGAAATGACTCCCGAAGCGAAGAAACGTCAATCTTGTGTAACTGAATTGAACAACACGCTTTGCTGCTATTACGTGCGTTCTGTTCATAACCACATTGGTAGAAATAATTATTTTTTCAGGCTTGCGAGGAAGCAACACACCCTATACGGTCCCTCACAAACATTACCTGCACTTCCATAACACTGAGAACAACTACGTCACCAGTTTCAATCACAGCAAGCAGGAAGCTAGCACTATCATTTGAAGCAGAACCCACTTCACCGATCACCAACACTGCTTCTTTTTTTTTATCACTTGAGTTTACATCTACTCGAAACATTTCTGGTTTAATGAGACCTTATATGGATGCTTCTTAAATGGAAATGTAATGCAACATAACAACAGAAGTATCCTCAAAACACCAGGTAATAAATACCCTTCCTACCCAGAGTCCATAGGGCACCCCATTTTTACACATCAATAGTTATACTTTATATATTAAGTGAAGGGTTCTTCTAGTTGATTCTGTGAGTTAATCAGCCTCGTGTTAGAACACTTTTTTTTAATAACTTTAATAATCACGGCAACAAGCAAGTAGGCAGGCAGATCAGAACACAAGGTACGGAAGAGATGTGGGAGGACAACAACATACCTTGGCGTGGCGCGTGCCACTGCGACACCAAAGTAATGCGGCGCATCTGTAGTATCAGCTGCGGATTTTAACTGGTTCATATACGAACAGGCATACATCACACACAATATTTACTGATGTCATATTGATTGAATATTTTTGATATATATAAACGAACTTTATGCTGGAAACATTTTTCATTCTTTTTTTTTTTCTAACTAAGATTAGAATGAAAAAATATCAGGTTTAGATAAATGCATATTTTAGAATATTACAAAAAACACATAAGTGCATGCTGAATAGGTAGGTGATATTTTGGAACCGGATGATATATATCTTGTTGGTATATATTTAATCTCCGAGTTGTGTTCATCACTTGAAACTGATGTCGCCAATAATGGTTCTTCCATGTAAGAGCATACCGTAAGCAACGAATGTAAAACGTCAGTTACGACAAACCGGTTTCCGAAATACTGTTGTGGAAACGCTCACCACAGATATATTTATTGACCCTAAAGAACACAACAGCATTTTTTAAAGCTTTTTCTCGCGAAGTTTTTGATTTCCATGTCAGAAATTTCAATTTGAGACGTAAGTATGATAATAAAGAACGACTTTGACACTTTTAATGTCAATTACGGAAACAGAATTATTACTACTACAGTTTTCGAGCAGTTAACTTTGAAATTGAATGCATGTATAATAAAAAATGTATCCGTAATGTCTCTCTATCTTATTGTCATAAATTCAAGACTATAATTCTGGCCTTAACTCGAGACGAGCCAGCCATGATACGTTTATGAGTATGTACGTTCACGCGCCCGATATACACATACACATATCATTATTTGGCTATCAATTAGTCACAAAAACTTTTGCGACAACATGCATCACCCAACAATCACGTGACCTGCATGAGCCTGTAAATTTGTTATGAATGAAGGTTGGTTACGTACAATCCATCAAATAACTTACATATGCGGGAAAAAAAATTCACCTGAGGCTGGTTAGTACTTTTGTGTGTGTGTTAGTTGA